ACAAGAGACACTAGTTTTGTCTGACGGTGTGAGAAAGTCGACAGGAGACCTTTTCAGAAAAGGCAGTGCTGAATTCAGCCACTGTGGCTCTGTTTAACACAGCACTTGAATAATCCTCTGTTGCAAAACAGCACATTTCTGAACATATGCTGAATTTGAACTTTGATTTCAGCAGATATGTTACAACCTGAAAATTAAAAGAGACACGCTTTCAGCCAGAATACAATGAAGATAAAATTAGTTCTCGAATTGCCAGGCCATGCCATTAAAACCACCAGACCTATTTTAAACACGTGGCCTACACCGGAAACAACCTATCATCTGACAGATTCAGCATAACATTCACCTTTTGGGTATGAAAAACTATGTTATTTTAATTTTTATCAAAAAACCTACAAAGTGAAAAATGTATACTATAGTTATTGTACCCAGGGAAAATGCATACTTTAGCCTAAATATATTACTATATTCTCTAATATATGAGAAAGACCATGCTATCTTGAGTTTATCCTTAAAGTGTTCATGTTCCACTCCACAATTTTATGCTGCCTTTAGCCTACTAATAAGTTCTTAACATTTTTCTAACCTTAATCTTAAAAACTGGTCTTGGTTCATGGTCAAGTTCATGTACAAAGAATGCACCGAGATGTCACCAATTTGAGCCCCAGACTTCTTTATGCAATATTATCTGCGCTACTAATTCTCAGGACGCCTGGATCCGCGCGCCCAAGCGGGACCCCTCAGGATTATAAAGTTACAGCATCACTGTCAAATTCATAAAGCTACACAGTTTTAAGATAATGACGCCGAGTCCTCATTATCAATATACAACTGACGAGACATTACGCATTCAAGACCGTTAATATTCCAAGTTTGGGAGCGCCGTGTCTGCTGGGAAACATCGCCTCTTTCTTTGAGGATGCAGATGAGTCTGGTGCACTTGACGTCTTTTCATGACCCCTGTCGGCCCCCATCCCCCCGTAGCCCCTTCAGGCCCTCACAGCGCTGTCTGTCATATTGGGCCTGGCTATGGCATTGCCACTTGCCCCACTGAGCGTGGGAATGGGATCGTCCAGTCGTTCACATCTCCTGCACTGCGGTTAACGGAATCAATTAAGCAGGCCCGACCCCCCACATCTCCCAAGTCCCCTCGCTCCCTCCCTCTCTTCTCTTCTCCCTCTTCTGCCACCTCCCTCCGTCTCCTAGCCCCACTCCCAATTTCTCCTACCCCCCTCTCTCCATTTTTGTCAGTTCAGTATACGTCCTAATTATTAGGCTGCTGTTTGGGATGCCAGCGCCGTTTCCTGGCCAGACTCGATCATGCTGAAATAAGAAGCATGGAGGTGCACACGTGGGTTTCAACAGAAGTCCTAAATATCACCCTTTCATTCCAATGACATGCTCAAGATGGGCTAATGTTGAAATTACACCCACTTTGAATAAAATGTAATATTATACCCCACGTTATAGGATCGAATAGGCAATAAATATTAACATGCAATATCTGGCCTGAAGGGAAGTCCAGTGTGTGCGTGTAAGGGAGAGAGAGCCTGTGTGAAAAAAGGAGATGACAGAGAGTGTGTGTGTACTTTTAAAAAGTTAATGAGTGAGCCTGCAGTGATGCACTCTGAAAAGGTGATTAACAAAGTCCAGGTGAACACATCTAGCTTATAAACGTGTGTGTACACTGTGGGGGGGAAATGACAGACATCTGAATAAAATCACAATAAAGTCAGCCATATGAATAACATCTACAAACAGGTTCGTGGGAAAATTCAGTTAAGAGTCCTCGTAAGTCCTCGACGAGTCTGGAAGTAGTTTTTACTTTCGGTTATCTAGCTTTATGACGAGCAGAACACTCATACAGCTAGATAACCAAAGATAACAACCCACTTCCCAATCTTCAGCAATAATCCACATGTGCATATCCTCTTCTTGTCTCCAAGTTTCCATTTCTCAGTGCTCAGATACATTAAGCAAAAGTCATCAGCGTCCTCTGTCAAGTCACATTCTGCATTATATTCCTTATATTCCTGTTTTGCCATCGAGGGCCACTATTGCACAGCCCGAACTGTTACACACCCGGCGCAAAAAAGTGTCAGTTCTTGAAAAAAAAGAAGATATATAATCCCAATGTTAATGTCATATTCACTTGACATTAACCAGTATTTTTGAGTTGAAGTAGGCCTTGAAAATCGCGGGTACGGTGCAGTCATCCTTGCACAGGGGCCCTCATTTGCAATGCAAAATAGCTTCAATCCCACAAAAGGTTCTTTCGCCTCTATTAAGTCGTTGTGGCAGTAGCAATAGATATCCTGTGAGGCCGGCGAAGAAGAATCACGGTAGAGAAGGGAAAGGGAAGGAAATCCGGTTTCTGTGGAAAGTGCAATAACAGCACAGGGAATTACGACGCAAATGTTTCGGATTATGAAGACAGGAGCTTGTTTTTTGCTCAAAGAGTATGAAGTTGTCCGTTCATACCCAGAATGTACTTAAGGAGAGATGAAGCTGATGAGTCGAGCCAAAGGGTCCGTTCTGTAGTCTGCGTGATCCGTCGGTCTGAAAAGAGTCGGGGAATAAGGGCCATCCCCAAAGGATAGGGGGCTGGGGGTGGCCAAAATATGGACCAACCCCGGTGAGGTCAAAGGCCTCGGACCACGACAATGTAACTGCGGTGATGTCATGAAAAAATATCGCAAATACACCCTCCTATCCATGCACAATCTCCATCCATTACACAGCGTGCGGTGGAATAAGTCCGCCTTGCAGCGACCAGCCTGCACGCCTTCTCTCACACATGGATAAAAATGGATGGCAGGGAAACCGTTTGTTTTTACACAGGATGAGAGCGCTTCGACTGCTTTTTAAAGGAAGCCACGATGAAATCGGCACATATTACACAATAAAATGAAGCAACTCAATGAGGAGACCATCCTGGAGCTGCCAGGGCGCCAGCATCCTCTGTCTAGGCTATATTTTGTATTCGCGGTAACATGCTACTCGCTTGCTTACTGCGCTCCTTGTCATATGAGGCACCACTATATGAGATTAACTGCTCTCACGTTCTTGATTTCGCGTCGAAATCCTTACTAGTTTCTGGTGTTTTTGTCATCGTCGCATCCGAAGTGTAGACTACAGTGGCATTCGGGTAGGCTGGCGATGTCGCCTCACACGAAATAAATCCCAAGCGCTGCACCGTGTACGCGTGTTAAGCTGCTCGCTTTTCCACAGAAATACACGTAGTTAACCACCAGCTCAGCAGATACGGGTCAATATATAAGATCTTTGTAACTGAGTCAACAAGAACAGGCATTAGAACATGTGATGGATCATGCGCAGGTGCATGCAACTCCAGGTAACCGAGACAGTTTGTGTTACCTTGTGCGCAACTTTGATTTTGTTTGGATCATAAGGCACTCCAGATTCAGGACAAAAGTTAATGTCTCACTTAATTATTGTGTCTACGCGTAAGTGAGAGCTTGTGCGTTCCTGTATATATGATACCAGAAGGTAGTGTCAAATTAACACCCGTATTAATTGTCAGTGGCATCATCAGGATTTTTTCTCTAGCTGTCCCATTCACTTGCTACAGTTACAGACGAGCTCTCAAGTTAACTCTCTTTCAGCGGTGGGAGGGGCAAATCAGAGGTGTTTTAATGAGCAATGTGAGTCACAAGGCCTGTGCATTCAACGAGACCTCGTCTCTTAACACACTCACAGCCATTGCGTGTTATTTCTGTTTCAGCGAAATAACACGCTTCTAAATAGCATATTCCACCTGCAACATGCAAGACTCCAAATGTATGCAAGAGTCACTTGTAGTATAAACAAATATTTAGAATTCACACATTTATGTACACACATTGTTCATAAGTTTATTTTTTCTAATGTGTCGCCAATTTTCATACATCCTCAATCATTCTGTCCCTGATGGGGCACTGATGGACGATAAAACTGTAAGGCTAACTTGATATCATTAGGATCAACATTACAAAGCACACCGCATTAGGGTAAAGGTTTCAGAACAGGCCTTGCACACAGAGGCCATGCATTAATTACAACACACTTTTCTTAAACAACCTGCTGATCCTCTTGAAACTCTGATAAGGTCTATTTTCGTGAAGGTTACAGTGTTAAAAAGCCACCAGGGCACAATTCTGTTCTTAGTATAAGCTGAACTATGTGAAGAAATGATGCTTCCGTGCGTAATAACGCATAAATAAACAAAACAATGAACTCTTTGTTGTTTTGTGTGTGACGATTTTGGTGACGTTATTCCTTCAGTGTACAGTGAACTTTATACTCTTGTTTCAGCACAATATTTCGACTAGTTTACTAAAGAAAAATAAGCATTTTAATGGGATCTGCCGTGAATGTGTCTGTCTATTCCATTCTATTTCTCCGAAATAATCTCAAACACATCGCTCCCGGAATCACACTTCCCACGCTGCATCTACTTTACACAAACTCATACAGACAGTCTTCACTGGTATTGAAATGTATCTTGTATAGGCTTAATAATAAATATTATTTCAATTAACACCAGATTTAGCAAGATGTTTTGTTCCTCTAGTTTTGTTAAACTAGAGGAACAAAAGCAGAGAACAACAGACCCTCTATTGTTTTAGGGATGCTACCGAATACACTAAAGTGAAGTTAAATGCAGAATATAACCAGCGACATAATAATGTAATCACGATAAAACTATATCATCATGTCTGATACTGACTTTAAGTTCAGTTGCCTTTCAGCAGTCGCTTCTAAAAGATGCCAAACAGTGCGCCCTGATTCCAAAGTGTATGAGGAAACATTCACAGTCACAAACTTCACATTTACTCATAAATACATAAAATCTCACCACGAATCATCAGCCCATACTAACTCTTATTTATTTATTTCTTCTCGACACCTTTGTATTTAGCCTTTACGCACAGGGAAACCTTTACGCATAGGATTGCCTTTACGCAACCTATTAAAACAGGCACAAAAGTTGCACTTACTTCCTAAAGGTGAGTCACATCACTGCAATCGATCAGAAAGCGTCCCAAGCAGGAGAGGAACAGCGGTATTTAGTTGGTTCCGTGCGTACCGTGATGTGGTATGTGTCCCTCTCAAATATCCCAGCCGTATCATTTGATTGGGGGGCATCACTTTAAAATTGCCGCTAACACTCAGTAGCCTAGTTTAGCCACAGCTATTCTGTGAAAGGCATGAGCATATCCTAAGCACATGATAGACGAAGAGAATGAGAAGGAGGGAGTCACGGGGAGAGGGAGAGAAATGTAGGGAGAGAGACAACTTTCCCATAACATCTACAAGCACGAAATAGAAAAGTGCATGCACAGTTGAGCTCTCGGAGTGTGCAAGTTTTTTTTTCTTTCCCTGTTGTTGGTGGTGGGGTGGGACGAGGAGGAAGGGGTGGTGATGATGATGATGATGAGGAGGAGGAGGAGGAGGAGGGGATGTAAAGTCCATCCTTCTGTGTGAGGAGGGGACGTGCTCTGAAATTCAAACAAGTTCCCTCGGTTCTTTTGTTGCACGCACGAACTGAGGCAGCATTGTTCGCGCGTTGGCGTGGACCTCTCCCTCCTTTTCCCTGACCAGGTTACGAAGTGAGCCTCACAGTTGGGTGGTAATGAATTTGCTGCAGGCGCTTGGCTAACACGCTTTGACAAACGGAACGCATTTACCGGCTTCCAGACAGAGGGGGAAATGATTTGTTGTATGCAATTCCCAAGCTAAGTCTAGAATGGGATCAATAATAAAGAGAAAAGGGAAAACACTTTAAACTTCCCTTAAAATGTTTTGATTGGATCTGTGTGTACAGTAGGCCTGTGCTAGACATAAATTCACCTTGCTTCCATCAGGCTAGGCTGATAAGACGTATTCTTATAAGACGCACAGACGCGTGCCACCTCACTCACTAACACACACCCCGCTAAAGGGAGAGAAAGATGAGAGAAATGTTGCACAAGAAAAAGTTAAAACGAGGTGACCTATTTGTCAGTAGCCTATCAGCAGCCCATGTGTTCAGCTAATTCTCTTGGTGACGACCCACTTATTGTTTTTGTGAATACATCATGTTAGACTTTTGCTGAGCTTGACTCTCCAAGAATATCCGTCTTTGGCTTTAGAGCATCAGCCTGCTCTATTATTTTCATAAGTCACATGTTCCCCAAATATACAATGTCAGAAAATGACTCCCCACCACCCCACCACACCCCACCACCTCCCTTGCCTAATTGCAGGCGTATCCATTAGATTCAACCGGATTCACGTTTTAGCTTAACAACGAGGGCACGTTCGGTGACGTAGACAAGCATATCAGCTACGTGCAGCCATATTTAAATACATCAAGGCAATTAGTGCATCAAAATATGCAAATCCCGCTTACTACATAGTCCGCCCAGCTGCAGTCGGAGTAATTTCCCCCCAGCCAGTTCTTGGGTATTTGATTGCCGTTTTGAAAGCCAGCATAGCCTTATTTGTTTTTCCAAGAGGCTTTGTTAATGTCAATGGGGACAGAAGGGAAACATGAAGACAAGGGGAACCGTGGCTTCTGCGTGGAAAACCGCCCATGCGTAATGAGACGACCCGCTCCGCCATTCTCAATTCTCCGACGCCGTTGGCTCTGGTGTGCGTATTATTTTTAATATTGCTGCATATTCACTAGATAGATTTGCATTACAGACTTCTCGCCTAATGTTTATTTTGACGTAGTTTTGCATGATTTTGCGTCTAGAAAGGTTAAAGCTTGAGTTTAATATGTTACAGCGAAAAAATGTATTACCCCCAAATCAGACTTTATATTCAAATGATAGACTAATGACACTGACTACAGTGACGCCATATGGGACAAAACTGTGGTGTCAGAAATTTAGATTCTCTTTAATCCAAATGATGTAAATCGCTGGCATCCTTTCTTGTGCTCATATACAGCGTGCATGAACAAAGAGCTCTGTGGTGAGCAAACAATAGGCGCAATACTGAGGAGACAATGCCTTAAGATCGAGGAGAGTAGCTGATATCAAGAGACTGACATGAGTGCGGAAACTAATAATCGAAAAGTCTCCTGCCCAGTTTGTAGAAAATCTTGTGACGCAGCGGTGACATTTAGGCAACAATTGCTCAGGCTGTCTCCTAGTTGTCCGTGCACGAGCGCAGTGGCACCAGGGACGAGCGCGCGCGTGCGTGCAGTGCGCTTAGAGAAATATATCTCCGGTTATCTTAAAGTATAAAACAAGACAGGGATTTCCTTGAAAGTATTTCTACTGTGACATTTTTCTATTTAAAAGAAATTGCACTCACCTCACCTTTGTGATCTTCACAGGGAAAAGCTATGAAATGAATCAGTGCTTCGACTTACCTCCAATTAACAAAATCCAATCAAGCTGCTTCTGTTAACGCATTCGCTCTTTCTATCAAGTTGGTGGGACGTTTTCCAGCAGGGCAAACTTTCTGCAAGCAGTTCAAGCAGATGCAGCCCCTAAAGGCTACTCCCCTCGTCACTGAACCTTGTTCTTAAACTACTCGTGGCTCAACACCAGTGGTCAGGCTGGCTCACGTAAAGATATTCAAAGCCACAGGAGTCCGTTGCCCCACCAATGCTGGGCTCCTCACACTGAAACGCACCATTCACTTATTTGCTCTAAATATATTAGGACATTAGTAGGTTGTTGCTCCAGTCATCATCCTCTGTTGTACCGGCCACTTTTTTGTTCCCATCTTTCAAATGATGAAGGTTACATACGCACGCTTGTTCACCTTCAAAGATGAAGACAACTCATCTTCTGCTAATGATCGTGTTAAGGGTTGCGTGTTTCACGTATTTGATACAGACAGGGTCAAATTATAGAGCTTATAATAGGATATAGTTTCTGTTTGTTTTTAATGTCAAGGCGAAGTGAGCGGAATTTTCTAGGAAGGGACTGGGAAAGGTGGTTTTAAAAGAGGTGGTTTTAAAAGAATTAATAAACCCAACCTCGCTGGACTGGTGGGTGCAGTCTTCTCGCTAAAAACAATCAAGTTTGAGTAATTCGTTGACATGCTTAATTTCTAGCGAAGTCACATAATATCTATATCTTTAAAAACCTTCTGGTCTCGACCACAGGCTATAAGTCCTGTGTCAGTCCGATCCGATGTTCTGTGATCCTCATTTGAATCATGCATGGGGGGGGGGGTGGACACATGCATGGATCACCCTCTGCTCCCGTTCATACAATTACTTAGTTGCATTGCGTATAAGGGCGTTTTGTGATGACACAGCCACCAGGCCGCATGTTAATAGATCGGAAAGTAAAGTTTATAAGATCCAAAAAGATGAGATGGTGTGGTTGCAAACATGGAGAAACAAAACAAGACAGCCCGACCATACTTATATTATATTATATTATTATGTTATATTATATTATTTACTCTGTGATTATATGACAAAAAACATATTAAAATGTGTATTTTTCCATTTAAGGCCAGACAGCAGCCTCCGATGCAGTTTGTAGTTAATAGGAAGAGGCAAGACTTGCCTGGCACTGGAAACAGTATTTTCAAATTGGTGTAATGAAACACCTCCAAGTTAAAGAACCATTCATGCTATTTTTAATAGCTTACCCGTAATGGTGCCTTCTCCTTGTTATTGCTATTATCGTCTTATTATTATTAAGCCACTGTTGTTATTGCTTACACCCATTTACACTGCAGTGTATTATTCTTTTTTTAAAGTCGTATCTTGATAATGAGCAGGTTTAAACGATGAAGGGAAGTCGTCTGTCTTGCACAGACCTCTAAGAACTGAAACAGATAATAGACTACACACGCTTAGCCTATTTCCGCCTGCTCGATCTACATGAACAGCTTTGGAGACTGAGGATGAGGAGGATGAAGCATTGGAGGGCGTCAACTAGACGACTAAATGATGACATCTAGTGGTGATGTTGAAGAATGCAGCTGAGAAACGAAGTGGTTTCCTCCGCGATGCTGTACCACATGCGGTCATTTGTGTAAAATGTCATGTAGCTATAAGAGTAATCTTAAAACACAATATACTGTAGCCTGAGCTGCCACAGCACCGTCAGATAACACGTCTCCTTTGACTGGGCTCTGATACCAATGCGGCCATAAAGCCTAAAGTAGATTGAAAGCTAAAAATCATTTTGAAAAGTAATTTTCATGAGCCTTTCTGTTGTTACCAGCTCTGTCGCTATTAGCAAATTTAAATATGTCGTTCTGATTTTTATTCTGCTAAAATAATGCGTTTATTCTTTCATGCATTCAAATCATTGTATGGCCTTTATCTGCTTGCCTCATATCCAACACGAGATTGATCCGATTAAACAACCTGTTTGACAGTTTTGCATCAGTCTGACTATTTGAGAATTTGTAAAAGCTGGCACAATAATGGATTATTTCGGACTGCTAATAAATCCTAGTGTCTCTGCAGTGCCTTTATAAGCCTTCTTCGTCACAGGCTTATTGGAATTAACTCTTCAAGTGCACTAAAACGGTTGTAGGCTTAATGTAATGAAGCAGTAGGGGGACTTCATGGAGTGCGGCCTAATTAAAAGCTGCCACGTTGCATACGCTGCAAACATTTTAGAGAAATTCAAATATAACTCCCTGCAGGATATGTTTGTGTTAAAAATACTAAAAACCATACAACAGCTGCATGCATCTGAATAGTGCAGTAATACAACAGATAAAATATACCATCAGAGTAATGATGCAGTCTGCAAACTAACTAAACTGTGTTTTAAAAAGGCTCAACTGCAGAAGCCTGATGTAGTTTAAGGGCCAGTTTCTGAATTATTGTGCACGACATGGCATGACAAAGGTGCGTTTTTGTTTGTAGTTACATTACCTGTGAGAGCAAATCAAACACTTCTTTGAGCAGCCTCACAACACCTTCACAAAGAAAAGGATTGGCTATAAGGATTTTAATTTATATAAGACTAACAATGTTTTACATTACAGCTAATTTAATGGGAAGACCAAACACACCGATGAAAAGTGGAGCATAATTAAGGTATTTCGAAAGATTCACATAGTTACAGTTTTACTAGCCCATTAATAAACAAGCATTTAAACGTTTCACAGAGGTTCAATAAAATCGTAATGAAACAATTGTCTGAATGTACATCATCGGAGCCGTTAAGCCATACAGTAAGTTTAGAAATAGACCTACGCATGCAGCTATTACATACTGTACCTTTAACACATTTAAATGATTCAATTTAATGGGATTATCAGATGAAAGAGGAATAATAGCTCCAAATGTATGTTGCGAAGTTGAAATTTGTTAAGAGATGAACGTATAAATGTATACTTCAAGCTCAGTTTATGTTGTTAAGAGACTAACAGGAGAAAGCTGATATAGTATTTCAAAACGGTGTTACGCATCCCAAACTCTAACGAGAGAGAGAGAGAGAGAGCGAGAGGGGGGAGACTCCGGTAAATCGATAAATATCATAACAAAAAAATCTTCTTTTGGATTTCAGACAATTGAAATTTCTGTATATTTTCGTTTGCTTGCTTTTTTGTCCACTAAGAGCGATAGATGCACACAAAAGAAACACTTGATTTTTAGATAAGGAAACAGACGCGCGCCACACAGTGAGCGAGAGAAACGCAAAGGCCTTGCGACGCGTCAGAGCCCCAGCTGGGTTCAACTGCGTCTAATTTTTTCAATCAGTGTTTGCGTGTTGGCGTCGTTCTGCAATCTCGCCATCATTGTCTAATACATATCCAATTGTTCTTACCGATTACTGTATTTTCAGAAGTCATAAATGCGTCATCTTCCGCCATTACCAGTTGAACTGGCGCCTCCAGGAAGCTGCACCATGTTTTGTATCGAACATAAACACATGCAAGAAAAAAAAACTATTTAAAATCATGGATTTTACCTCCGCTTTTCTTTCATTCCTCCCAGTTTGTTGTTTTTCTTTGTTTTCTTTTATTGAGGCATGAAGACATAGCGTGGAAAAGGCCTATAGACAATTTGCGGGTGTGTAGAGCAAACGTCCACACAGGGCGCAGATCAGTGCATTATGAATGTCTTTTACACTGTAAATTTAAGATCCTCCTGCATTACCTGCAGCATAATGAGAGAGATGATGCCACAGTGATTTTAAGGGAGATAAAAACCTTGGCTTGATAACTGGAAATGGACATTTATGGCAGATTAGTTCTAATGTTAATGGAAAGAAGCAAAAGTGAATATGATACCATTGTTATTTCAGTGCTGTGCAATTTATATTGTCTTAAATCAAAGCCACTATAGCACCATGCACTGACTGCTAATATTTTAATTAATTATTATTTTTTGTTTGTTTGTTTTTCAGTAATGCTGTTTTGGGGTGCATGCAGAAACAAGTCAAACACAATGAAATCACACCAAGTCACACCAGGATAACTATGAAAGCCAGTAACTTTACTGAAATCTCTGCAAAATACAAATAGCCTTTCCCTCCAACACAGGAGACTTATTTCATCCGCGTACGTTTCCACTACATACAGCTGAATCAAGTCCCTTGAGTTCCAGAGATGTGGATTTAATTTAATACCATCTTAGTCTCAAGTGGCGACAAAGGCCAGCTTATGCCGCTGAAAGCCGCTCTTGCGTCGCAGAAAACATTAGCTCCAAACCTCCAGTTTCAGTTTCATACAAGCTACATTGATACTACAAACTGACTTTTTAAGCATTTAACATGTTTTTTTTAATTCCTTTTCAGCTTTTTGGATACAACTTAAATAAAGAACAACAAAGAATCCCATATGAATGTTGGGACCTTAAGCAATGGTATGTTACTACACTTGGCTGTACAGGTGTATGGTCTCCCCCTTTGCACTGTAAGTGACCCATTGAAACATCAGCTGAGGTACGGCTCGAGTGAATTTTGAGGTACCAACATTTAGTCTAGAGTAAAATGACAAAGAACCAACTGATCAACAGATGAAAAATATTTCAACTTTAACAAACACAAAAAAGAAAAAACAAAACAACATAATGACAAGTTTTCTCCATGTCACCACAGCACTCTGATTAACCATCCAGACATGTTGGCATTGTTTCAGTTAATGAGCAGGCATGGCAATTAGTGTGCAATGTGCTTTGATCAAGTGGGCAACAAGCCTGATCAGGCCTGGATCATCCTGTGGATTCCAAGTGGATAACAAACTGTGGATACCAATAACTTTTCACACGCAACCTTGTCATTGTGATGCAGAGGGGGACAGACGCTCAACAAAATGAGTAAATTACCGTGGTTGGTACCGACAGTGCTGCTTGATATCTAAACCTACATCTGACTGACTGAAATTGAAATGTGAAACCGATTGTACATTTGAGCAAATTCTTTTATTGTCTTGTTTCAATGCTTGCAAAAACCATAAATGAATGAAAATAAAAGTTGAGTTTACAACACACAAATACCACTTGCTTTGGTTTCCCCACACTTATGCTGCCTGAAACATCATGTCATATATTTTTTCCTCAAACTTTTGTATTCTATTAAAAAAAAAAGAGATAGAGATAGAGAAGAACACTGTTATAGAGGCTCTGCCCCTGTTTGACTACACACACTGTATACAGTAACAACAATGTGAACCTGCATGAAATATGCACATAGAAATATTATAACACTTAAGTGACAGCAGATATGGGAGTGGGAGGCAGAGAGAGAGATATGTGGCTAGTTTCATTGTTTAAAAAAGTGAAAATCAAAACATTTACTCTTCTAAAATAAACAGTTGTGCTTCTCCCATACCAGCGTGATCAATTTACCCCGGTGTGTCTGATGCTGAACTGCCAGTGACAAATGATGCGGAACCCTGTTTTAAAGAGTGGAACATGAGGAGCCACGGAAGGACACAACATTACATTATTAGCAAATGATCAGGGATAATTAATCACAATGCATTTGCAAAATTAGATTTCATAAATACGATTCAAGAGAAAAAATTGTATAGATTGGGTCATGAGTTGTGCACCATCCGGAACACAAGTTAAGATTGTGGTGAAGAGTTCAGGTTGAACAAAAAAACAATCATATGACAAAAGCATTTTTATGAGATTAACTATATTAAATTACCTAATTAAGGTTAAGAATGGGATATCTGATGCATAAAAATGCATTTAGACCTCATATTTCCTCATCAGTGTGACAATCATATACATCATGTGTCACCATTTCTTTTCTGTGTCATCCCCAGTTCCAGTCTCGTGACATTTTCCACCAACAGGTACAATATACAGGCCTGTCTTTTCTCCATCACACAAACTCCGGCAATGCTTTCCAGCTGGTTTTTAAGGTTACACTAAATACACCCCTGAACAGCACAGATCAGGGCTCAAATAAACAAACCAGACAACATGTGCAACTGCACATATAAACTCCACTAAGAAACCAACAAAATTATTATTATATATATTTATATATTAGAAAGCTATACACAAGCATGTTAATGGTGATTTATCCATCTCTTATTAGCAAAGCTATCAAAAAACACATTCTGGCTTATAGAAACTACAAAAAGCCACAAAAATGCTTTGCATTGAATTCCTTTCATATGAAAATATAAGCAAGTGTATCGTACAATTGTTTTTTTTTTTTACCTTTTTATGTTTATTAATACTGAATAGTTAATACTAGATCCAGAGTTTTCTTGATTACACTAACGTAGCTCTTAGGTCAAAGGGTGGTCTTCGCTCTGCTCCGTTCTTCAAGAGGAGCATTAAAATCATCAGATCCTACAAGGTTAGAACTGAATTTGCCTGTTTACCTGTACAAGCCTTCAAATGTTGCATAATAGCCTTTTCATTTAGCGAGTAGACAGATTTTGTAATGTCTGGCAACGTTTGACCCCTGCCCTTCCCCCTTGACCCTCTATTTACATAAATACGTTGAACCTGCAACATGACATCATCTAATGTTAACACACATTTTTGCAAGGGAGAACTGCAGGTAGTAGAAGGTATATAGCAATGAAACTGATACTGTACACATGTATTGTTTGTCCAAACCAAGTGCTAAAGTGATTTCCACTGGACACACTCACTCTCATGTTGATGTTGTTGTTGTTTTTTTTTGTTTTTTTTGTCCCGTGTGTAATAACTGATATATCGCTGAGTCAAATTGTAAGTACATTTTATGAAACAGAGTACCTGACAATTTTTTTTGTTTATTTGTTGATATGCATATATATATACACACACATGTGTAAAGATATATGCATATGCATGTGTTTCTTTTTATCCACACACAATACAATTTATGCATAGTTCCCCAACAAAAATACCCCCAGATCGCATCCCAACCAACACCCACCCTCCCAAAGCCCCGTTACAACACCCCACTGGTTTATATAATGTCAATATGCATAGCACACACACACCACACTCAGCAAAAAGAAAATAAAAAAAGGAAAAGAAATAACGAACAGGTTTTTGAAAAGGGTTATCCCTTTTCTTTCCTTCAGCGTTAAAGAGATAAAAGGAGATAGGCCATGGGGTTGGGGGGTAAGTGACTCGTGATATCGAGTGAGAGGAAAAACAGGGAGAGAACTGACTTAGGTGGCATTGTAACGCTGCATTGTTGGGGGCTCAGGGCAACTCAGGGTGCCGCCAGGGAGAGGACAGATCTATCATGTTGCCCATCCTTCTGACAGGCGCACTCGTTTGATGGAGGGGCTCTCGTGCTCGTCCATGGCAGGCCGGACCAGTCCCAGAGGTGAATGGAACTCATTCCTGTGCTCATCGCGGTCGCTGCCCTCATGGGAGCTGCTACAACTGCTCAGACTATCAACAGGGGAGCGTCCCGAGTCTTGGCGGGACGAGGGGTTCTGAGGAGGTGGTACCCCGCCACCGTAGCCCCCCGGTGTGTTGCTGGTGCGATCTCTAGGAGGAGAAACAGGTTCGGACTTGATGTGCAGGCTTTGAGCAGAGGGCAGGGAGAGATTTGAACCCTGACATAAGTGAGAGCTAGAGCAATTTCTGTAGGAAGGAAAGGAAATGCAAGGGGTTAGAAAGTTACCGAGCAAGAAACAGTGATTTTAAAGTCAGCCAGTCACACACAAACATGCATGCAAGCACACAAACACACACCAATACTCATAAAAACAGGAAGGTGTCATAGCTGTGCTGGGCCTGGTATTTGAGGGTTGAAAACAGTGGAGGACTCATAGAGTTCTGAGTGTGTCATCTCAAAAAATGTTCTCTGGTGATAATGTATGTGTTACATCATGCATTTTGCAACAACACAACACCTCAGATTATGTTTATTGCACTCACCCTAGCTGGCCGAGGGCTGAATGCTGCATGTTCTGAAGGTGCTGCTGTTGCCACCCGCTCATTGAGCCGAGGTGAAGGGAGCTGCCACTGCCGAAGCCAGACAGCGAGGACAGATCTGCACTATTCAGAGAATACTCTGTGTACAAACACACAGGAAAGAAAAAAAGGAGGGCGTATATTACAGGCTGTTTAAAGAATTTCAAACGAAGTCACAAGGAGAATTCAGCTCTTATAAATGCTGCAGCGATGTTACATCAGTGTGCACAGTGTGTGAGACAATAGCACCCTCTGTTCCTAGAGTGCTGTATAACACTTAGATTTAAAAAGGTTTCAAAAGCAGCACATATACTTTTCCTTAACATCTAAAGCAAAAATGTTGTTTGATTATTTAGATATAGCAAAGAGTAACTGAAAATATATTTCATTTTCTAAACATATACAAGGTGATTAAAGGGAATGAGCCTGAGTTAATGGAAAAATAACAGTTTAATGTATAAAGACCAGATAGTGCACACAAAGCAGTACATACCAGTACCATAAGATGTAGAGATGGCAGATGGGTAACCGCCCATGCCTTGTCCTGGTAGAGTGGGAGTTGCTACTGATACCACTGGGGTGGCCAATGACTGAGCAGACTGAGAGTTGTTAATTCTCTGGTTCTGTGACAAAGGAGACACAGAGAAAAAGAGAGATGAGAGAGGCTTGAGAACATGAAATTAACTCAAAACAAACAAAAAACTGAAATAAACCAAGAAAGTTTTTTTCTTTCCTTTAATTTCTTTCTTTCACTCGACAGATGCTGAGAGAATGAATGTGATGCCAACTTCTGGGGAAATTAATCACTTGACATGCGACACGGTCGAACCCTGCCAACCCTATCATTTACCACAGAGGGCCCACTGTCACTATAGTAACACCATCCATCTCCATGGCAACGCAGGGTAGCAACGGCACGGGAGAGACACTTTACTGTGGCAGAGGGGAGGGTTGGCAGAAAATAATGGTAGTTTGATACAAAATGAAATTGTATTTTTTCGTTGCCCTTCATTTCTCAGTAACAAAACGTGAGCTGTAGGTGTTCTGAGCTACACGCTACACGCAGGTGTAAAGCTAAAACGGAGGAAAAGAGGATTGGATATAGGGCTGAGGCAGAAAGAGGCCAGGCTGCTTGTACTCTGACACACCACCAGATGGCACTATGTGCTCTCACAAAACATCATATCAGGTGACACTCGAGTCTTCAGCGCAGTCAGCAACAATAAAGATGCTACTGAAAAGTGAAAGTTGTTCTCAAAAACGTTGCATCCAGCTGTCATAATCTCATTATGACAGCAAAAACTAAATGCAAATTAAGAGGTTACACTCAGGTGACTGCATGCTCTCAGCTGCAACAGGAACGATATTAATCGGTTTCTGATTAGAAAGCCTTTAAAGTTTCAGATTGTTACGGCCTTTTTAGGGGTTTTGATTTCTAAATTTGAGGGGCAGTCTGACTTACCAACAGCAGATCAACATCCTCAGACTGCATTAAAAGGAGAGGGTAATAAATTCAAATTAGTGAGTGTGAGTGAGAATACAGAAGTGATGGCTAAGTGTGGATCTAAGGATGGAGCTGCATTAGGTTTAACCCAACAGACACATAACTAATGCGAAAAGAACTAATAACAATTGTAACTATCTTATTACAAAGAAGGGAATAAAAAAAATAAAACACAGGGCCTGGAATATGAGCACCAACATACGCAAAAGAGTAAAAGAAATACAGCATCTGACAGCACATCAGACTCAGGCCAAAAGACATTTTTAAAGGGGGGGAGGATGATTTAATAAGCTGCTAAGGCACCAGAGAAAACAAACAAAAAAAATATTATGCATCTAAAGTTAAGCTTTTCACAGACATGACCTCATCAACCCAAGTCTGCTATGAAGAGATGAAAGGAGCAAGAAGAAATAAACGAGCAAACAAACCCGAAAGGCCCCCATAGATACAGCAGGAAGATATACAGTAAGGAAGGGGAGATATGAAAAGAGGAACAGAAGATTACTCACAATGGAGGGCATATTGTTCTTGGTGCCTGGGGGGATGAGCACACGTAGGTCAGGTTTGCGGTTGTTCATGCCTAAGTTCATGGGTGGGGGAGACTTAGCTTGCATGTTCTTGTTCATGCCACCTGGAGAGACCAGCAGACCAGGTGAGTTACGATGGTTCCCGTATCCATTTCCTGGGGAGCAAGGAAAGGGCAGAAAAGCATTAAATATATTACTATTCTTGAATGATGTTTGATCCAAGGGCACAGTCACACATTATTAAACCTGTGTGAAAATTCTGCTGTCCATGATGGCATAGCCTAATTAAGACCTACAGGAATACATTTTCACCTTGTGCTCCTTTTCAGTGTTTCTGCCTCACTGGCACATCCCACGGTAGAAATTTTATTGGTTCGCCAATCTGAGGAGACTTGTAAATGGTGCTTCGTGAAAATGGTACACGCTGACAGGGCAGCAAACAGACGTACTGTTTTTGCGCCTTCATGATCACCACTGTTTGTCTGGTAGTCATACAATAAAAGCATCCACTTGAGAAGACCAATTAAGGCTACATGTGCCCTACTACAGCCAGTGAATCATGTAAAAACATCTAATTACTGGTAGCAAGGCCACAGAGGGATGGGACCCATCATTTGGCCATCAGAGCTAAACATGTGTGGTTCCTCCAGACAAAGACCCTGCCTTGGGGTTGTTACCAGATCTGCATTCCTTTAAGTACAGAGGGCCAAGTGCAGCAGCCATTTCTCCCTCAAAAACCAGTGGGGCGAAATCCTAGCAACATCATTAAAAACTGAAAGTGGAGTATTCTTGCAAGAAACACAGTCTTTGTTTCTAACCAAATCCCACAGGCTGTTTTTTCCCCCGTACTTCTCCTTCCTTCTTCCACAGGGAACACAGGGCACTGTGTGGACGTTCCCACTTGAAAGACAGGCAGGAATTATACGTTAGACATAAATGAATTTCCTAATCATATACTCCAGGAGAAAATGAGTCGCAGATGTCTTCCTGGGCAATTTCCCTCACTGATCTTTGTTTAATTTGAGAGCGAGGTTTTTGTTGTTTGGAATTGAAAAGTCTCTAAAGCTCAATTTGAACAATCTGAAGAGTAAACGACCACTAGCGGTGAGAGAAAATGAGGCAGTCTGACAGAAAAGGAGAAAATCAGTGTGTGTGTGACTGCTGGTGTGTTTGTGTCTCCGCTGGCATGTGTGTGAGCACATATATGCTGACAAAGACTTTGTGTGTTATTTTATGTTTTGCTATATATAACTTTGCATGTGCATGATTCTATTTAAGTACCATTTTTCTGAGTTGTACATAAGCTCACTATGCCTTGGGACTCTATGTGACATGCTGTATGATAGCTTATGCTTATGAGCCGTGCATATAGATGCACGTGTGTGTTTTGTATTGGACCCTCTTAGCTCCAGTGTCAATCTCCCATTAGCAAAGAGGCAGCTGCCTCTTCAATTTTCCCGCTCTCTCATTCTCATGGCTGGCCCTTTGTGAGATTGAGTGGGTGCATGTGGAGATAGATGAATGAGACCATACACACCCATAAAACACACACACACCACATAGACACACTTTAGTAAATAACCCAGCAGGAAGTACATCAGTGTTTCTGTACAGATGAATAAAAAACGAGACTGAGCTATAGAGAGACGTTAATACACACTTTGGTCAAGATGAAACGATTACTCCATCTCGGTGACAGTTAATCAGACATCTGTGTATTACCACCTTGTAGAGATGGCTGCAGCCCAGTCAATTATCTGCTAGATGGCTATAATCATGAGTGGGCATAGGCCAGTCCTTAAGTACCTCAAAAGTAAAATCACAAGCTAATTAAGTTAATGAAGAAAGAACTGTGACTCACATCTTTCTATTTTGTTGTTTGATCAGCCCGATTTGAGGGAATTTGAATTCAATCGTTGCACACTGGCCTAACAGCTATTAGATATAGACATGATATCCAAAGTTTGTCTCCACTCTTCCCCTCTAATGCTACTTTGCAAGGTCAAGCTGCAGCGCGTGCTGGCGTCAACCGTTTAGAGGAAGTACCAAAATTAAACACAGCCCAACTAGGAGTCTGTTTTATCACATGTAGAGAACACCATCTGATCAGAGATTTAGATAAACAGCTTTTTGCTATTTCTGAGATGTGTGTGTGTGTGTCTGTGGTGGTGGTGGTGGTGTGTGTGTGTGTGTGTGGGGGAGCTTAGGTTAAATGCTGAAGAAATGCAATCTGACTATATAGGTACCATGGTTGGAAGTAGTAACGATGGCAGTAACTTCGATATGCATGTACTAGGCAAAACTCCCCTCTATCTTTCACTACACACCAACACACACACACACACAAACACAAGAGAGGTGTGGTTAAACTTGTGCATTTTACTGTTACAGAACAAATTTCTGATGTCCTGTTGTGGTCTAACAGGCGCGTTCCATTCTCTTCTCCATACACACACACACTCTTCCGTTGCGGTTTGGGCAAATGTGCATTCAACCTTGAATTCTCCAACTGAACTAAGATGTCACACTCACACTTACAAATTGTGCCGTTGGTGCGAGCTGCTGCCAGGATTGCAACAAACTTTATCTGTTGAACCTGACGTGTCATCGGTTGCTGTATGTGCGCATTTCTACATGATTTGACCAAAAATGTCCTAACTAATTTTAGGGTCTAATTAGTGTGCGACCAAGGTGAGAGGTGAGAGGAGTTTCTTGTTAATTCCTTGCAGTGCTTTGGTGAGCAGAATGCTGATTGGTGCGTACATGACAGCTACATAATTTCACAAATGCAGGTGGGAGGTTTTCGCAGGCTGGGGCCTTAGTCCAGCGCTCCCTTCATCAGCTCTATTTCACTCACACTCTGTCTCACTCCTCCCCTCACACTCTCTCTTACCTAGCAAAGGAGTTGACAGATTGATCACGTACCTTATAAATGAGCGACCGTACACATGTTCACACTTCCTACAATATTTCCATAGACATGAAGACTCAGCCTTTCAGTAACTTGCCCTACAGTATTTGCTATGGACCAGCATTCCCTGGGGACCTCGTGATTTAGAATTTACCCTCATTGTTGGGTTTTATACTATTTGCAAAGGATAAAGAAAAGATCTTTGTTTCAATTAAATGTATGTGCCAAATCCCAAGGTTTATCTCCAAATAGGATTGAAACATTAAGTATCTCTGCAGTAATTCTGGATTCAAAATAACTGTCAAATTTATATTTTTTACAGGGGAAGTTGAGTACACAATATATTTTGAGTTCAAGTACTTTACATCATGAAAATACTGTTGCTAGGCAACTAACAACAAAAATGGACTTTGCCTTATTCCCTTTACAAAATGGTAAATTTTGCACTTACTGCAACTTAATTATTTAGCATGGGAAAACAGTATACAAAAAAATTAAGACTGAAGATATGGCATGTACTTGTGGGATTAACACACAACTTCTGAAATCCTCCCAAACTACAGGAGTATCCCAGGGAGTGCTAATCCCACGCGAGTTGGGCTTTAAAAGCTGTCATATTCTCTCTTTACAGACAATGGAACCGTGACATCTGAGGCATTGCTGAGTACTGAGAAGATGTTGTGCTTATGTGCTTGCTTGAAAAACACACACAAGCCCCCTCCTATGTCACTTAGGCTACACCACTTAAGACACTCCTACAAAGGCCAGGCAGCTACTTGTACAATCAGCTTATCAAAACTCACAGTGAGGAGAAGAGGAACATTAAAAAGGCCTCTGTGGTGCCACAGTGGCTGGGCCACCTCACACTGAGTCACTTAGAGGAACATCATTAAAATGGCTGACCAAGTTCATAGAACACTTCCATCTGTGTTCCCCCACTGTCTCTCCTTTGCACACATGCGTGCTCCCCCCCCCCCACCCCCCCCCCCCCCGCCACACACACACACACACACACACACACACACATGCTCTTTCTCCCTTACATGATTTAAGACAGCTTTGAATGGAATCTTTTAGCTTCTACATGACTCTCTCTCCACATCGTGTGTTTTGCTGTTGCTGCTGCCGAGCGACGCGCAGCTCTCACAGAGCACCTCTGTTCCTTCGCCGTGGTGACACAAAGGCTACATTTGAGGCATGCTCTGCAGCACGCCGTCGACAGAACACATGCCACAACAAATGGTCCTGTTGTATGTGTGTATGTGTTTGTGCTTTTGATGAGTGAGCAGACAGAGAAACCAGGCAATGACCCTCTGTGATGGAGCCCCAGGGGCCAGACAGGGCTACCCAGCTGTGCCCCACTGAGCCTCTCATTCTCCATTTTTATACTCTGCACTGTACATCAGGCTGTAAAAATGAACCCTTTAAATGGGATTCTCTTTACTCTAAACTTGGGCTTGACATGTCCTCAGGGACGAACCTACTGACACACAGAAGTTAACGCATCAGATTCCTTACACAGGTTAGTCCTCTGTGGGTTGCTCCACTCTCCAATGAATCATTATAGCATGGTGACATTTAGTATGATCACAGTTACTGTGTAGTGATTTTTGTTTGGTAAAACAAGCTGCCCCAAGTGGCAGCTGTGAGTGCTGTCAGTCTGAATTTATATGTATCTAAATCCAAAAGGTGGTAGAAATAAAGAAATGGATCTTTATCCAACCCCAAGTCAGAAGAGGTTGGGATGGCATGTAAAATCAAAATTAAAACTGAAAATAATCATTTTTAAATAATTTGTGTCCTGTATTACATTGAAAACAATACAGCAGCAAATTATTTGATATGATACTTCAATTCTGATGCCTGCAACGCATTCCAAAACAGTTGGGAGCATTTCAGGGCCAGTAATGAGGTAAAACAGTGAAATAAAACAGGTGATTGCAATCATGATTTGGTACAAAAGTGGTATCTAGGAAAAGCTGAGCCCTATAGGTGCAAAGATGGGCCGAGGATTGGTAGTTTGCCAACATATGTGAAAAAAAAATCATTGAAGTGTTTAAAAACAACGTTTTTCAAAGAAAATTAGGAAGGGATTTGCATAAGTCATCCTCTAAGGTGCATAGCATAATTAAAAGATTCAAAGAATCTGGAGAGATTTCACTGCGCAAAGGGCAAGAGCCAAGCCTAAGCTGGATGACCATGCTCGCCGATCCCTCAGATGGGCTCAGGATTACTTTTGCACACATGTGTCAGGCGCTACAATATGTAGTTACATCCATAAATGGTGCTTAAAACTGTACTGTGCCAAAAGGAAGCCTTATGTCAACAGTGTCCAGAAGAGCAGTCGACTGCTCTGGGCTCAGAGGCATCTGGGATGGACCATCACACAGCAGAAACATGTACTGTGGTCAGACAAATCATTATTTCAGGTCTTTATTGGAAGGAATGGACGGCGTGTGGTCCAAACCAAAGACGAAAAGGACCATCCAGACTGTTACCAGCAACAAGTCCAAAAGCCAGGGTCTGTCATGGTCTGGGGTTGTGTCAGTGCCCTCGGCAAAAGGAACTTACACTTCTGTGATGGCTCCATTAATGCTGAAAAATGCAGAGATATTTTGGGGCAACATATGCGGCCCTCAAGACGACATCTTTTCCAGGGATGCCCATTCATATTTCAACAGGACAATGCAAAACCTCATACTGCCACATTACCAAGGCCTGGCTGTGGAGGAAAAGGGCACAAGCGCTGGACTGGCCTGGCTGCAGCCCTGACCCATCCCAACACAGAATGTGTGGCACACTGTGAAGCGCAAATTGCATCAACAATGACCCAGGACTGTTGTGCACCTTAAGATTTGTTTGCAGGAAGAATGGGACAAAATTACACCTGACACACTTAATCACTTGGTGTCCTCAGTCCTTAAGTGTTGTGGAAGGGGATGGCCTCATCACACTGTGGTAAATATTTTACTGTCCCAACTTTTTTGGAATGTGTTGCAAGCATCAGAATAGAAGTGTGTTTGATTTGAACAAAGAATAAAATTGATGAGGTATCACATCAAATAATGTGCTACTGTACAGATGACTTACAAATCACTATTTTCAGTTTTAATTTAGATTTTACATACTGTCCCAACTTTTTCTGATTTGGGGTTGTATATAGAAAAGGAGAAAATTCAGCTATTCATTAAAGTCCAAGTCCAGCATATCTTCTGATTGGCCGCCAGTCAACCTGCTGCTTCAGTGTATATAGTACAATTTTATTTCCCCCTCCACTTGATCTAGCATTTTATAGCTGAACACAGGCAGGATGTGACACAGCCTAGGCACTGGGCAATCATTCCCAGATGAACTCCACAACCAGTAACATCAACACATCACAGACAAAATCTCCATTTGGGTTTGGGTTACTATTAGTCATGCATTATATGCCCCCGTGTGGGTGAGTGTGTGCCATGTATGCATGAGTGTGGGTGTATGTACTGTATGTTCAAGTTAACAGACAACTGCTTGTGAAAAGAAGAGGCCGTTCTTACCAGCACTGGTGCCTGCGCCAGTGGTGAGGTCAGCACCCATGAGGCCACCTGAAAGACGAAAGAGTGAGGAGAGCAAAAGAGAGAAAACCATTAGAGGATAGACACCCACATAACATCCACCTCCTGTCTCTCACTGTGCTAGCCTCTAAGAAGCTAACTCAGGTTTTAATCACAATCCACTCTGAGTGCGTTTGCGTCAGTACATCATATGTGTCCTGATACAAGAAGTAACGCGACTCCTCATTCCAACCTTACCACTGGTCACTGTGAGTGGAGACATGCCACCATCCAAGAAAAATGACACATTATTATTTTTTAAGTCATGTGAGGTGGAGGAGAGGGAGGGTCCAGAACATGTGTGGTTTGGTGTGAATGCTGCGAGCGCCAAAACTCATATTTAGTTTGTGCTGGTGCTTCCAGCATCCAGTTGTAATGACAGGGTAAAGGTGTGGGCAGCTGCCTTCAGACCAGAGGGACAGAAAAAGGACTCTGGACAACAATAACAAACCAACAGGCTTGTTTTGCTTATGTCACCAGCAACTCAGAGCCTATATATCCAGTAGGGCCAGACATCCCATGTGTAGAACCTGATACTAAATCAACAGAACTGTGGGCTGAGATTTCATATGATATTAAATCGTCAACTTACTTTGAGCAAACTGCTGAGTATAATATGTGAATATATACTGGAGGGGGACGACTTTAGATACATTCATTACATTTATACATTTGATGTGTTTATCTATTAGGATGAAAGATACACACAGCTGAGAATAGACACAGGGGATAAAAGCATGTACATGAGTGCATGAGTGCATGTGAGGCCCTACCTGTGTTACCTGCACTGGGGGGTCTGTGTGTAACTCCGGGAGACATGCTGTTTCTCTGTAGACCATGGTGCGCCAGTGGCAACAGGTTGTGGTTGCCTAGGGAACCCCCAGGATGGCTGTAAATGAGATTGTTGTGGTTGCTAACGGGAATGGACACGGGCATGTCGTAGTTTGATGGGGGCACGGCCTGCTGAAAAAGAGAGCGGGAAAAGAGAGACATGGGTTTGATCAGACTAAATGTGTCAGCAAAATGCATTGAGTGAACAAACTAAAACAAGGCCTTTGAGTAAAGGAATAGACTCAAAAAGAGAGAAAGAGACTTAGCAATTCAGAAACATTTCAGGAACACAAAGGAATTTTAAAGCCTTTGACTATTTGCAGCGCTCCTCCAGAAACAGTCAAGAAGTAAAAGAAAAAAAGACGACAACCAAGTTCAGAAGGGGAAAATGGACAACAACAGACAGCCATGCATAAATGTATGGTACAGAGCACAATGTCTTAGAACAAAGACTAAAAATACAATACCACATGGAGGGTGAAAGGGAGCACCGCATAAAAACCAAATGGGAAGTCCCTGGATAACTCCTTTCAGTTATTTGTTGCCAAAAAGATGATATATGTGATGATAACACTTTGTCGTTCCAGTTTGCAGCAGGTTACATTGCAATATTTTTCTACAAAGGACCAAGGTTTTGTCCCAGACATATCATGACATTCCATATTGTACAGGCACAAGGTTGACAAGGTCCTCAAACACATCCCTGGTTTATTAAAGAAATAAGAAAGCTATGGTTTACTGGGAATATAACCAATGGGATCCCACTGATCTAAAAAAAACTAAGAATAATTCACTTCACTATAAAAGTCTGCAGCATTTCTTGCAAAAATGGCTTCAAGTCTGGAGAATAAAATGCAATTAGAAATACTTAATTTTTTTACGTGGAGCGAACCGAAAGTGTTTTTCAGTGGTAAACTCAGATCGGTCAGTAGTCACATCAGGAATATAGGCAGAGGTAGCCTGCTGGTCCCCAGGCGTCTAGTTTGTCATGTTTATTGTGTCCCTTGGCAGAAAGGCTTAACCTTGGGAGTGCCCTGGAAGTGGTTGATCCTGCATGTTAGCTTTAGGGAGTAAAAAAATAGGACCCTAAATTACTGCCATGTGTCTCTGAACCATGAAGGGAGCGCATCAGGGGGATCATCATGGCTTCTGTGGAAGTGGGATATATCCCTTCGCACTGCTTCGACTTGTTTAATTCTCTCCCTTTTTTCTAATGTTCTCTTTTCCAAAAATATTATTTTAAAGTGCAGAGACACTTACTTTAACCATATTTCATTGCAGGCCTCTATACATTTTGTGTTTCGAGTGACTTTACACAGGCGTAGGCTGGCCAAAATCTATGGACGCTTCATTTTATAACTAGTGAGGGACTGTTTCTGGTTTTATTATATTATTTTTAGATGTAGTAATTCCTTATAGCTCAAATTCTTTGTTACAGATACCTTTCTGTGTGGTGTTTTCCAAGAGTTGGGGTGCTGTGTCTTTATGCACATTAGTGTGTACACAGACCTCACTGCTGAGTGCGAGGGCCCCATGACTATGCTGTCCTCTGGTGCCATCCTTCCTGTTATCATTCATTTTCCTCCTCCACCTCTCCCCACAGTCCCCTCAACAGTCCCCTGCAATCCAGAGGCCCAGCACTTGGCAGCCACCCTGAACACACACTGAACTGCCATTTGTTGTGCGCCTCTGACACCACCACCACCATTGCTGTTCCACCCCCATCCCCACCCACCTCCGATCCCAAGCACACACCGCCACGCCAGCTCAGTCACCAACCCCTGTCTTGCGTCCAACCACATCTGCTGCTGCTCGCAGCTTAGATGCTACTGTTTTTCTCTGAATTGTCTACTGTAGAATTATCATTTTCTGCGTAATGCTAGTGCACTAACTGTTCCAATATGGTGCCTTCTGAATGAAGCACAGGCTCAGTTCTCATAGAAAGCAGCCTTTATTGTGTGGTTTCTGGCAACTGGCTATAGGCTAAATCGTTCTTTAAAATTAACATTACACAATATAAATCTAACAGCTGACATGTCTTGACATTCCTGCATCCACTAACAAATATGTCCTTTTTAAGATGCTGTTAAACTACTGATGAATTTGCTTTCATATTTATTTCAGAAAGAAGGAGTAAGAATTGAGTTTGGTGAGGTATGGGAATATGCTTTGTGAATGTCTGCTAGTGCTTCATAACTGCAGTGTCTGTTCTTGTTGTTGTGGGTGACTGAGCGCTGTGTTCTGGGGGAGGAAAAGGAAAGGCTCATGCAGACCACACCTCCCCTGAGATCCAGCCAAGGCATTATGGATAGAAGGTTCAAGGTGGAAACCCAGTAAGGTTAAAATTTGTCATGATGGAAAGCCTGCGATTACTGTAGCAAAAACACCTGTTAGTTATGGTTACAGTTATGTCAAATTAGAGGACCTTTCCTCAACTATAATCAAGCAAAATCAAAGAACTGCAATTTTTGCCATTGTAAGTAAACATAGTCTCACCCCAGTCTTACTCTCATTCTCACTTTCACGTTGTGTATTTATTCTAGTGACAAACATTGGTGGTTAGCCGGGTTAGCTCAACAGTTACTGGCCAGTCAGCATTTTGTTAGCCTGCCGAGGATGCAGAGTAGTGTCAACCCAGTACTTACAGGTATCTTATGAGTTTTAATCATGTGATCAAACTCCTCGTTAATTTGTTTGTATTTCTCTTCAGTGCGTGGGGTGAGGATGAGAGCAGACTCGAGCTCCGGGCTCTCGCCGCCTTTGTTCTCCTTCTTGTTCAATGCCTGTCAGGTCCCACAACCACAGAGACGGACGGAGGGACACACAGATGAAGGAACGGAGAGATGGGAGGTAGGAACAGATGACGAAAACAAGGAGACAATTGACAGAAAGCATAGGGAAAAAGAGAAAGAGAGGAAAGAAAAGTGAGAGGAAGGCTCAGGGTTCGACAGGTACTTACACACAGTCTCTGTCTGCTGATCATCAGATCAATATCCTCGTTTATTTTCCTGTACTTGTCCTCTGACTCGGGGCTGTGGCCGACCGAGTCATCTGCGTCGGGGTCTGGGCTGTCACAGCCGTTTAGGCCCTTCTTTCTCAATGTCTGCAAACAGAGCAGTTGTACAACATAGTTGAAGGGCTTGGAGTAGGGAACAGTGACCCAGGTGAACAGCTTGGGTGGGACAAATGGTGATGAACTGTGAGGAAGTACCTTTTAGACTCCATCCTGACAAAAGGCAAATTAAATTAGAAGAAGTTATGATAAATCTCTTAGAGATTTTTTTAACAGAAATGCACCTCCACTTATTTCATATGAAAAGGTTTCCAAAGTACTTTTTCTCTATGAGAACAGTGATGCTGTTTCTGAGACATTGTTCTACAGAAGATTTTTAATCTTTTCAATGAATCATTTTGGCCGGCTCCATTTTAACCTGCATCTATATGGGAAGACACAAGGATACACTGGCTGCTTTGTGAACAAGTAGACATGCAGCTAAACATTCAAGATGGCACAAACAATTTAATTACATCCAATAACAAGACATAACAAATGATCCAACTCTTGACCGAATGACGAATCGTGGGACCTTGAAACCTCATAATTACACAGTAAAGGAGTAGTCATAAAAATAAAACACAATTTTTAACCATAATCAACAGTGGCTCATGATTTAGAATTTAAATAGACGTGTTTGAGTTCATGGCTGTGGTATATGTGCTATTAAATGTGGTAGTTTCTGTTTTGGCCACCTGATGGCCACCTGCCCCTGTTAGAGTGTCCAGAAAACAGCAGACAGGCAGGAAAGCGTACTCTCCGCTCGCTCACCACTCCCTCTGAGTGGAAGAGAGGCACAGACAAAGAGAGCATGAGAAGGAGGGAGAGAGGGAGAAAGAGAGAGCTGCCACTGTCCTTTTTTAGATATTGTTGACAACCATAACAACAGGGATAAGTTTCAGAGCGCATTACTGTGTGTGATAGCATGAGGGTATGTTTGCTTGAGCAAGCAGACTTGTACCAATATGTGCTGTGTTCAACTGCCTTGTAAAGTGAGAGACAAAGACAGAGTGGGAGAGAAGAAAAGTACAGTAGCTGACAGTTAGAGATCTCATCAAAGGCATCCCCTCTTCTCCAGCAACCCCCCCTCCTGGCTTTAATAAAGGGAGATTAGTCTACAGGAGGAATATCACGGGCCTGCTCCTGTCTGTGCAGTCGTCGCTTCACACTGTGCTCTCCTACTTTCATCTGAAGCTCCATATCAGACAGACGTAATTAAATTTACTTTAGCACACCCTGTATTTGATACTGATCAAGTGTGTGTCTCTCTCTGTATATATTGTAGTGTGTGAATGTGTCTACTGGAGTGTGTGTGTGTGTGTGTGTGTGTGTGTGTGGGAGGGGAAAGAGGGGAATGAGTCTGTGTTTCTGTGTGCACGAGTGGGTGTGTGAGAGTGGGTGTTAGCGTCAAGAAAAGAGAGACTGAGCATGAGAAAGGAGGAAGATAGATCCTAAGATAAGTTAATCTCAGTGAACTTCTTCCTCTCATTTGTTTGTCTCCGTCAGTACTCACTCACGGAAGAGATACGAGCGCTAGCTACTCCATCACAACCAGCAGCAGAAGTGACAGGGAGCGATCTGCCTGCTTAGAAAACAAATAACAATCCAGTCATCTCTCATGTCAGCACAACAAAGGCCTGTTTTGAGTGTGGTTTTAGTGAACTTAGAGGGCTTCTTTTGTGTGTGTGATAACTGTTTGATTCCTGAGGCGTCTTGTGGCGAGGCAGCTACTGTAAGCGTGTCAACATTTGCTGGCTCTCCTCTTCTCTCTCTGAATCCTCACTTGGCCCCTAGAGTGGAAATCTGGAATTCTGAATTTGAAAGCGTCTCTCACATCTTTTGACAGTCTTCAGGAAATCACTCCAAACAAATCAACCAAGGCGATGCAGGAGATCTGGCTTCTAACAGAGCTACAGTGAATCAGGCACTCTTGCTCTATCTGAGGTGGCTGAGTCAAAAGAACAAAGGGGTTGCAGAGGTCTAGCATGCTGTCTTTCTTGGCAAAGGCGTGAGATGTACAACTTTTGCTATTTCTTTTGTGTAGTTCCATTCTGGCCTTGGTGATGCATCATATCGAACTGACAGGAGCTGAACCG